GCCAAAAAACATATGAAATATATTGAAATGATAGTTGAATTAACCGGTGCAAAAATTAATCCCAACCAGTATGAAATATTTATCCTCAACAGCCTTGGAGCCGACAAATTTCAGAAAGAAAGAGAAATCGCCTGAGGAAAAATTGGCGGGAATTCAGCCGGCAGTGCGGTTTATTTAGCAATATTGAGTGCTTTAACTAAAAAACCCAATTCCGCTCAAGTGGCAGCGACCGGAGCCATTGCCGAAGAATTAACCAAAGGCAAAATTAATGACCAAGAAGTTAGTTTAGAAAAAGGAGCCAATTTGCCGATTTCAGGACTAAAAGAAAAAATTGCTGCTTGTGTGAAAAAAGGAATTAATAAATTAGTGCTTTCCAAATATCAGTCTTCACCAAATATTTTATCCGAACAAAGAGATTTAGTAATTCCCCAAGAACGCGGGGTTAAAGTGATAAAAGGAGGAAAATGAGAACCAGCCCAGGATTACCAAACATTAATTTCGCCTGAAATAAAAGAAAAAATGACGGTCTTCTTTGCCGAAAATTTTAAGGAGTTAGGAGAATTATTTTGAGAAAATAGTCTATCTTAGTCTGGAAAAACTTATTTATGAATAAATTAACTGTTTTTGACACGCATTGCCATTTAGCCGATGGAGAATACCGCAAACAAGACCGGAACACCAAAGAAATTATTCAAGAAGCCGAAAAGGCGGGGGTAAAATACATTCTCAATACTGGGCAAGACATGCCAACCAACCAATTACTACTTAAACAATTAGAAGAATTTCCTAATTTATATGGTGCTTTGGGTTTACACCCGAATAGCAATGAAGATTTAAAAGAAGAAAATTTACAGTGAATAGAAAGAAAATTAACTAACCAAAGAATTATTGCGGTTGGAGAGATTGGCCTGGACTACTATCGCACTTTTACGGAAATTGAAAAACAAAAATATTGATTTAAGAAGCAATTGGAATTAGCCAAAAAGCACAATTTACCAGTTTTATTACATATCCGCGAGGCTTTTGCTGATGCTTACGAAATAGTGAAAGCAGCAGAGATAAAAAAAGGTGTTTTACATTGCTTTACTGGGAATTGAGAAACCGCCAAAAAATTCATTGATTTAGGATTTTATATTTCTTTTGCTGGCAACATCACCTACAAAAATGCTAAATGGCGAGAAAAATGGGGAGAAGTAATTACAAAAATCCCCTTAGAAAAAATAGTTGTCGAAACCGATGCCCCTTATTTATCACCCGAACCCTTACGAGGGCAAATTAACTATCCTCAGAACATAATTCATACCTTAAAAAAAATTGCCGAAATTAAAAAAATGGGTATGAAAGAGGTGGAAGAAAAAATTTATTTGAATACCTTACAATTATTTGGAATTCCCTAATAGGTTTAAATAATTTTTAGACATCATGAATTAATTATGAAAAAAAACCAAATCCAAGAATTTATTTTCCACTTTTTACTTATATTCTTTGGTTAGGTCTTTCTTTTTTGTTTAAAGAAGTTCACTTATTAGTTAACTTAAAAGAAAATACTAGGATAAGCAAGCATGCCTAAATTTTCACTTTGGTATAAATTTTATAAGAGACCCCTCCATTAAAAAGTTCTGAAAATAATCTGAATTTTAGTTAAAATTATTTTAATAAAATGGAAAATGCTTTGAATAAGAGGTTTGAGAAAAAAAGAACCCTCCGAACTTATCTAGCCAATCATGGCTGGCAAGAAATTATTACTTATTCACTAATTTCATCAGCAATGAAAAATGATTTTAATTATCCAGTTAGTAATAAGTTTTTTCAATTATTAATGCTGAAAAATGAGGCTCATGAATATTATCGGCAAACCCTTATTCCCAGCCATTTAAAAATCCTAAAATATAATCTTTCTCACGGCAACCAAGACCTCTTTTTTTTTGAAATTAGTTCGGTTTATAGTCCTTCCCACCAAGAGGAATTACTTATTTTAAGCGGAGTAGGAAAATTTTTCAACCAACCACTTTATAAATTGGTTCAAGAGTTAGATTTTTACTGACTAAAAGGGACATTAGAAAATATTTTTGCCCTTTGCCAAATTAATTCTGAAATTTCTTTCACTCCTCCTGCTCATGATTACTTATATCCTCCCCAAAGTGCCGAAATATTCCTTGGCAAAGAAAGGATAGGCTTTTTTGGTCGACTCCATCCCCAAACTACCCAAAAATATCAACTTAATGAGACCATATTTATTGCCCAAATTTCGTTGAGCCGAATGTTTAATTATTTAGATAATTTTCCACCCCAAATATCTTATCAACCAGTTTCTAATTTCCCAACCAGCACCAAGGATTTATCATTTATTTTTCCCGCTAACATTAACTATAACGAAGTCATTAAAGAAATAAGGGAGACAGCAGGCAATAATTTGCAAGAAATAAACATTTTTGATATTTTTCAAAATACTGAGTTAGAAACAAAAGAAAAAAAATCAGTTAGTTTTCATTTAATTTTTCAAAGTCCTACCAAGACCCTAGAAAGTAAAGAAATAGAAAAAATATTAGAAATTATTATTGAAAAAGTAGAGAGAAGGTTTTCCGCAAAATTAAGGAATTAATAATTTTGATAATAAGCAGACAAGATTCAGACATGTCTCTAACTCAAATCTAAAACCTGAAACAACCAGACTAATACTGTAAATAGAATTAGTAATACAAAAAGACAACCAATAATGAGGAGTATATCCAGAAGCAGTTTGGATGGTCCAAACCACTACCATAATTACATTATAAATCACCAAATTAATTAATAAAATCTTTCAAATGTTCCTTTTTCTTATTCTTGCATACATAAAAAATTTTTAATATATTTTTGCTTAGATTATAACATTAACCCCATATATCCATACATTGAAAAGATAAAAATACTTAAATATGGATTGAAAAGTGCTTTTTCAGGAAAAGTGAATAATAATTAGTGGCTTAGCAATATTGCTAATTATTTTTGTAGTTTGAGAAAAAAAAGAGATTAAGAAAAAAAAGAGAGAGGAAGGTTTTTTAATTTGTCCTATTCGTGGTATTTTGCGAGCCAGAAAATATGATGTCCGGGGTAATTATACTGAGGAATACCAAAGAATTAGATTGATTAAATATCTTTTGCAAAAAGGTTATCCCAAAAGCCAGTTTATTATTGAATACGCGATACCTATCGGACATAAAGGGCATAATATTCTCCGGGTTGATTTAGTAATCAAAGAACAAAATAGATTTATCTGCGTGGCCGAGATAAAAAAGAGTTATAGCAAAGAAAATATGAAGTCAGCCATTAAACACCAATTAGTGCCAGCGATGCGAATAGTTAATGCCAAGTATGGGGTTTATTTTGATGGCACCAAAAAAAGTCGCTTATTATCCAGAAATAACGATGGAACTCTTTCAATCCGGGAATTTCCTTAACTTTTCTTGGAAGAAGGTTTTTTTCTACTTGCGAAAATTAAGGCTAGGGTCACCAAAATAATTCCGCTTAGAATGCCAATTGCTAGTCCCTGGTAAAGTTTGCTATTATCAGGAGAAGAATTAACGGTCTTGTCCTGTAATTCAGAGAAAGAAAGCCGCTGGTTAGGCTGTTTTTCTACTATTTTCTTTATTTGTCTTAATTGAGAATTGTTAACTTCCACAATTTCTTGACTTTTATCGTTATAAACGATTACTAATTTATCCTCATCCAAAGTGATAGAAAAGATTTTTTTAGTTTCAAAATATTCTCTGATTTGTTTTTTTTCTTCCTGGTTGATTTGTTTACTATTTGGGGCACTGCTGAAATCAGAGCCAACCATCAAGTTTTGGTTTGCTTTAATTAACTCATTATTTTCGTGGTGGCGATTTTCATTTTTGTCATGTTCCGCACAACATTTTTTAATTCCGCAGTTATGGTATTCTCCCGTTTTCTCTAATACACCTAAACGTGCCTTGATTTCGGCTAAAACTTGCTGGTGGAGGTCAATTTTTCTTTTTTGTTCCGGAACCCACGTTTCCAAATAAATTAAATTACCATTCACTTCATTTCAAAGTCGATTTAAACAATCTTGACAAGAAATTTCGTGCTTTTTTTGGGGATAAGTTTTTAATCACTCATTAATTAGT